AACCTTTGCCTCTACCCTCCTCGAGCTCCCCCTCGACGTGTCCATTCTCTCGGAGTGTGTCTACGGCTTTTCCACCACCATGGATGGCCGCCACTTTGCCGAGGAGTTTGTCCGTCGTCGCAAGCTCGCCGACAAGGGCATTGTCGAGAAGGATTCCAACACTGGCGCCATGTCTTCTAGCAATGGTGGTTGGTCCGAGGTGGCCAAGAAGGGTGGTAACGGGGCGCAGAGCCAAGTCAAGGAGGATCCCATGGCTGCGGTGCCTGGATTCCGAGTTGTTCAGGCCAAGAAGGGCAAGGGCAAGAAATAGGCGTCTGCCAATGTTGCCTTTGGATCGGAGATTTCTTGGAAGGGTGATGATGTTATAGCAGAGGGGGGATGTACAGGATGATGAAGGAAAAGTTGTCTTTTGGCTGCCAGCAGTTGACTGACGTGGGATGGTCAAGCGTCGAGCGTTATATGGTTACATGCCAGTATGTCACGAATAGTGTACTATAGCGGTATCAGTAGCAGCGATGAGATGTATTGACTGTATGTGGTCTTTACCAGTACTATTCGGTTTCCCTTATTACGTGTCCATACCTTTGGTGACAATGACTTGTGACTTGTGGTATGGACGTTGAGCCTCACTGAGTGCTCTCTCGCCTGCCGCCCACGAAATGTTAATGTGGAGAAGACATGGAAGTTCAGCCTTATGTAAGCGGTAAGTCTTGGCGATGAAAAAGTGCGTCACAATGCCAAGACTGGGGTCTGGCAGATCTCGCGGGCCTGTGCCCCTCCCCCCATTTTTATTTTTTTTGCGGTTGCTCCAGCGGCGGACACCCCGGCGGTAGGGCGCCGCCGCCTGAAGAAAATGTTTTGACATTCAGTTGCGATAAGAATTCGGGGACCCCTCTATCAGATTGTGATTTCCAATCAACAACGGAACCCCCCCCTTCCATTCCACTTTCTACTGCTTTCATTTGGCTTCTCACTGGGCGTTTGTTTCATTCACATTCAGACTGGGCTTTGGGGATGAGATAGACACAATCAGTTTCGATACCCTTTTTTCTTCCGTCCTATCTCGATACCCCTCACCTCCCAGCACAAGCACAATGACGGACACCACGACGTCAAGCCTGCTTGACCAGGTCCGCTCAGGCCACTACGTCCCCGTCCTCACCACCGAGCCCGCGAAGACGCTCATCAAGTCATACGTCAACACCGTCTACGACTCCGAATCACAGCAGCAGAATGTCGTCGACACACCAGCCCAGGACAAACTTGCCGTCGCCCTCTCAGCATTCAACACCTTCCTGCAAATAAACGTCGCCGGCCCTGTTCCCGATGGTCTTGCCCAAGTCGAGGACGAGTTCACCACCGCAGCATCCAGCAAAACTTCCAAGAGCAAGCCCCTTCAACAAACTCGCAAACTTTGCTTCTCGTCTCTCGACGTCGACGGCGTGTCGGTTTATCAGTACATTCCCTCCATTGAACTGTTCGGCCTGGCACGATGGGTTCTCAGCACGCAATTGGGAGAGGAAGCGGAGGTCAAGGGACTGGAAGGCGAGCCGGTGGAGTGGTTGAAGTTGAGAGTGGATGTCTGGCACTACAAGCTCATCACCCAGCCGAGCTTGGGACCGGGGAGCATCTTCAACAAAATTTTGCAATGGTGTGAGGTGCCGAGCTTGCAGGGAAAGATTGAGCAAGGATTGGAGGTTGTCCAAGGGGAAGTCACAGGGAAGGACAACAAGGAGATGGAAGTCAAGTGGCTGGTCGAAAAGGCCAACGTGCACATCATGTTGGGACAGGATGTAAAGGCGAAGGAAGCAATTCAAAAGGCGGCCGAGGTCAACAAGTTCCAGTACATGTTGAGCGGTGCGCTCGGAAAGAGGACCAAGTTCCAGGAAAAGGCCACCAGTCAGCTTGTGGTTCTTGCAAAGAGTGCGGAGGAGAAGAAGGAGGACGAGGAGACAGACGCCAAGCCCAAGGCCGTGGAACTCAACGACGACACTCTGTTGGACGACCTGCAGTTCACCAAGGGCGAGCTGGGAAAACACGGCGAAACAGACGACAAGACTGGCCTTCCTGCGGAACTCAAGGACCTCGAGCCCGATGCGCAACCCCAGCTTTCTCCGCTGGATCAGATTATCCTGCTGACCGAGGCCACGCTCAAGGATGCCTTTAGCCCCAGCGATTCCCTGACCTCCGAGGAGGTCTTGCCTTTTGCCGTGAGAGTCATCAACGACAAGAGCACCAACTGGCAGATCTATACGCAAGCCTTGCTCGTAAGGTCGCGCATCGAGATGCATCGCTCCAGGACGATCGAGCGCGGTGTCCTCCAGATGCAGGCCGTGGTTGATCAGGTTATTGTCGACACCACTGCGGCTGCTCCCACTTCTGAGTCCAACGAGAAGGAGGAGAAGAAGTCCGACGTCCCGGCCATCAAGATCTCGGCGGATGGAGAGGTCATCGAAGACAAGGCGGCTGCTGCCAGCAAGCCCACCTCCTTCTTCCCCGCTGCTAAGCCTGAAGATTCGGCGCCGGCGCATGTCCGTCTGCAGTACATCCACGCTCTCAGCTCGCCGCCCAGATGGCATCTGGAGTCCGAGTTGGCCTACTCGTGGGCTGGAGTTGGCTCGCTGGTGTCGGCCCTCGAGATCTTCAAGCGTCTTCGCCTCTGGGCCGAAGTCGCCCTCTGTCTTGCTGCCAACGCCCGTCATGATGACGAAGATGGCCGTGGAGCGGGTGGTGAGGAGAAGGGCAAGGCCATCGTTAGGTGGCGGTTGTTCCACCGCACAGGTGTCACCGCTGCTGAGGAAGATGCCGAGGCGGACGATGAGGTCGAGAACGAGACGCTGGATATCTCCAACTTCAAGGAGGCCGACTTCCAGGGTCCAGAGCGTGTGCCTCCTCCCCCCAACGCGCCTCGTCTGTTCTGCATTCTTGGTGAAATGGAGGACAAGCCAGAGCATTACGAGCGTGCTTGGGAGATTTCCGGTCAACGGTACGCCAGAGCGCAGAAGTCGTTGGGCGAGTACTGGCTGTCCAAGCAGCAGATCTTCAAAGCCCGTGACGCTTACCGCAAGGCCGTTGTCGTCAACCGCATGTCTTCCGAGCTCTGGAACCGTCTGGGTGACATCTCTCTTCGTCTAGGCGACTTTGCCGAAGCTGCCGAGTCCTTCAGCCGCGGTATCGCAGCTGCCGACAACCTCGCCGGCGGGGAAGACGCCCGCACGTGGTCCAACCTCGGCTCAGCTCTCTACTCCCTCTACGTCGAGCGCGTCAAGGAACTCAAAGCCGAGCGTGAAGCCGCCGCTCTCGCCGCCGAACCCATCAAGAAGTCCCTTTCCGACGAGGTCCTCCCCGACGAAGACGACACCTGTATCGCCAACCCCGAGCGATCCCAAACCGACCCCAGCAAGCGCTCTCCCGCCACTCTGTTGTCCCAATCCCTAGCGGCTTACAAGCGCGGCGCCTCCATTGCCAACGACAACTGGCGCATCTGGGACAACGTCATCACCCTCGCCTCGCGCGTGCGCCCGCCCGCCGTCTCCGAGATCATCCTGGCTCTGAACCACATCATCAAGATCCGGGCCTCCGAAGACGCCCTCGACATTGCCGTTCTGCACTTGCTTTTGCGCGAGTGCGTCCTCAGTAAGGAGGTGCCCATAAAAGAAGGGGTGTACGACCCGCCCCGCGGCAGCCAGGAGCGCGCCGTCTGCGAGTTGTTGGAGAAACAAGTCGCGCCGCTGATCACCAAGAGACACGAGCTCTGGAAACTACTCGAGACGGCGCGCTACTGGAGGCGCGATTATGCGGGTGCCATTGACGCGGCTGAACGTGCTTTTCGCGTGATGGTGGGCATTGCGTCGGCTGGTAGTGGACTGCTTCCGTCTGCAGGGATGGGCGAAGAGAATGAGAAGAGCTGGTTGGTGGACCCGAAGGCTTGGGATGCGTTCGTACATCAGATCCAGGAGTATGTTGAGCTGCTGGAGAATTTTGGGGAGGGGGTGCCGGAGATTGGAGAGAAGTGGAAGGGGAAGGCGAGACTTGCGATTAAGAGTGTTCAGGGCAAGGCGAGGGAGGCGTGGGAGGGGAGTGAACCGTGGGAGAGGTTGGAGTCGTTGTTGAAGAGCTATACTAAAAAGCAGTCTTGATCTGAGGGGTTTGGGCACGGGATGTGATGTGGTGTAAGAGCAGGGAACAGTTTGGGTTGGTTGGGTAGGTATTCCAAAAGTTCAAAGGTTCAGAATAACAGGCAATGGAATGTCCTTCTACATGGCTTTTTCACCCGATTGACGATGCAGATTGCAGTGGATGAGATGCACCAGGTCCTCTTTCCGCTTCTTGGGGCGGTTGGACCCCGGCTTTTGTTGGCTTTTGTTGTTGGTTCATTTCCCGAAACCTTTTGTCTCCCTTATCTCGTGGTTCAAGTGCTGACACGGAGTGTTCTATCAGACATCCAACTTGTGATCTGGTCCCAAGACCCAACATCAATCGACTCTCCGCAGTTGAAAGACCTAGACAAATAACACTGGCACGCATCAGCCGAAGATTTTCTCGAATTACAATGTTAGATACGGTAGGTAGAGGCAGGTAGTCAAGGAAACGAGTGGCGCTTTGTTGGATTTCAAAGGGTCGTCCCGCTCTTCCCGCTACAAACAATGGCATGTGCAGTCCTTTTGTGGCGTCTTTGTTGTTTTGTATAATGCTCCAAGGAAAAGTACTTCTAGACAGCTGTATGGTGCAGGTATAAATTCCCTAACCTTCGTCCTGACCTACCTGAGAGACCCTGACACCTCCTATTCCCAACTCCAACAACCACATTGAGGTAGAGGTATCCAGCACAACCAGTTAATTACGAGACCACAACCAACAAAATGATCCTTACCACCCTCCTCGCCCTCTTTCTCGCTCTAGCAGCAACCACCACCACTGCCCTCCCTACCGCCGAAGTCTCCTCCTCTGACCCTCTCACCAACGCCACCCTCACCTCCCGTGACGACAAGCACTGGGCATGCCTCAACTTCTCCCCCGCCATCGACCAATCCTCCGGCGGCTCCCCCAAATGGGGCGACTGTCTCCAACTGCGCGCCAACATCGAATCGGGCGGGTCGTGGACATTCTGGTCAGGCCGCCACACGGTCATCGCCTCGTACGGGACCTGCGTCATCGGTGTTGAGACTGCCAAGGGCACGTTGGCAGGGACCTTGACGCAGATAGGAAATATCGATTTGATCCAGATTGTTGAGTACACCGAGGCCATGATCATTCGCCAGGGCGGAAATCGGGTGGCTACGAACGGGAAGGGGAAGAAGTGGGTGAAATGGGATGCGAAAGTGGGGAGCAAAGGGACGATGGAGTGTTTTCAGCTGGCGTTGAAAAGCAACAAGTTTGCGGTTAATTGGGGACTGTATCATACGTAGTTCCTGCCTAAAGGTAGACACTGGAGGGTTACGGGTACTTAGTCAAAGCTTTGACGCAGATATATCGGAAAGGGACAGTGGTCGAGCGGTATGGTGCGCAGCTTCCCGTCTGCAATTCCACCAGGGTTAGGCCCGGAGGGATAACGCCGCCTCAGGCTGGGCTGGTCACCGTACTACCCTATGATGTATACACTACAAATGATTAGAACCAGTACGATTGACAAAGTAACTGACTGAGCTGGGCCCCCTCTGGGATAGTTATCTTGTAACTGGCGTCTTCCGGCTATGCAAATAGGACGTATAGCTCAGGCGACCCCCCCCCTTGTCGGACCCACAGATTTTTTTATATATATAACCCTAACCCGAATAGCACATGCATTAACGTACAGCGTACAGAGTACTTGGAAGCACATCGCATTATTGCATTTTTGCAAGGCACGGGTCACGCCAAGTATATCCTACTGAATAGCGAAATAATTAGATTAGTATATTATAACCTTTAATATATTTATAATATACAGTATAAATAGAAGGGGTTGTTAAGTACTTATATACTATTTTATAATATCGTTTATAATTAAAATTTACTTTTAGGAATATTATTAATATAATATAATAATTATATACTATCCGTTTATATTATCGGTTATATTTTCGGATGTACTATTACCTTTATATAGATAGTCTCTTATGACAGACGTTCAACCTTAGTCAGCCCCCATCCACTTCCCCGCCACCCCGTGGCGCAGTCGTTTTGGACCTATAGGGCTAAATGGTGTGATGTCCGGATTGGTGGGTGGGTGAGGGTGGTGGGCCGGATGTCACAACCATTTGGCCCTGTGGGTCCGAAGAGACGCATAGGCTATCGGAGGTGGCTGAGCGACTGAGACTATATATAGATTATTCTACTTGTATTAACCATCCGAATAGTACTTTTATACTACTATAGAATATTTCGGATATAATTCTTGGATATTTAAGAATGTAGGTTTAAATTAATATATACAGTAGTATAGCCTTCTAGGGGGCGTAGTCTTTATATATAAAACTGAATATAAAATATACGTAGAATATATATAAAATTATTATAAAGTTTTTATAAAGTATTTATAAAGTATTCGTAAAGTATTTATATAACTTTAGTTAGTAATTAGATACGCTAACTATAATAGGAGCCTAAATATATAAAAAGATTATATTCTCTCCTTTTCTTTTATTACTATTTCCTTCCTTATATTTATTTTATTCTTCATAATTTCTATTCGTTATAGGTAATATAGGGGGTAATATATCCTTCTTTCCTTATATTTTTCTCGTAGTTAATTATTTACTAATACCGGGACTATTTAAATATATTAGAGGGTATTCCTCCGGGAATATTCGCCGAGGATTAGAATATTCTAATTAGTATATAGGATTTAAATTTCGATATTATAGAATTTAAGGAAGTATAAATTATTAATATAGTTATAGTATTAGATTTGTAATATAAGGAAGAAGGTTTATAATTATTCGGCGAATTAGTTTTTGATATTACTTTTAATTTAGATTTAGAGGTAGGTATACTTTTAGATAATAATATTAAGATAATTCTATTTTAAAATATCCGGTTAATTACTTATACCTTTTCTAATCCTAGTATAGGGAATTAGGCTTTTTAATTTCGAATTAAAAATTTTGTGTACTATTATAATTTCCCGAATTTTCCCGAGGACGATACTAAGGGGTTAAATACTATATATATATATATAATTAAGGGTATAATTCCTACTAAAATAAAGAATTAGCAGGATTAAATAAGTTTTTATATAGTATTTGGCTTACTTTATATTAATTTTATTAATAGGTTAATAATAGGTTTAATAGTATTAGGCTTTTATTTATAGTAAAAGTGAATATAAATTTATTCATTACTTTTTCTTTAATTAAGTAGAATTTGATTGTATTAAGAAAGGATATACCGGTATAAAAATTTATTTTTATTTTTACCTTCGTATTTAGAAGGTAATTAATAATAGAAAGAGTATAAACGATATTTTATAGTTATAGTATAATATATAGGAGGAGTTTGTAAATAGGTAATATTTACGGAATTAGGATAGGAAGTAGGTTATAGTATTATAATTTATAGAATTCCTTTATAATTATAAGAACCCGAGTATAATAAAGGTAAAGTGCGGAATTCCTAAAGATAATTATTATTTAATTATTTTTAAAAGTTTTGTAAATTTAGCCTTACCCTAGATTAGTTGGAATATATATTAATAATTATTATTATTTAAATAATAAAGTATATTATATATAGTATTAAATATTAATATTGTTAGGAGGCTTAGAGCTCGTACACGGAAGCACCTCAGCGGCTGCTACTCCCCTTCGTTAACCGACGTATAGGATTACTAATAATAACGCCTATATCGGGTCGGGCTCGCGGGAAGGATAATCCGGTACTATGCCGAAGTGCCAAATTAGTACGGGGCTTTATAATATTTATTAACGGATAAATAGAGTTTATATAAATATAAAAGAGGTTTAACAGAATATAGTTTATTATAATTAATAACTATTAATATATCTTTAAATTAACCCCTAACTTACTATCCCCTACGTATAACTATAATTATAATTACCTCAGCCTACCTTTCGCCTATATTTTTAATAAATTAATAGTTCTTCTTCTAAGAATTAAACCGATACCGTTAAAATACATATATATAGCGGCCGGTTTATTTCTCGTACTATTAAAGCTATTCCTCGTCCCTTTTATATTATTACCCTTATAATTACTATAATTAAAACAACCTAACCTCCTCTACTTTTATTATAATAATACTAATCTATTATAAAGTTTATTAAAGAAGATAATAATAAAAATTACCCCTCTATACCGCCCCGGACTCCCCGTTTATATTCTTAAATTTTAAAAGCTAATAAATTCGTATGTAAATAGTAATTATTCGAATTTCGGTTTACTGTAATTAAATTCCTCCTTAATCACCTCCCCTTATATATATCCTAGTAAGAATAATTCGCATTCGTAGGCCTCGTTAAATAAAATTTAATAGGAAACTACCCCCCTATCCCTATTAAGTTCTATTACTAAAATTACCTCTTCTATAATTAAATTTATATTTTTACTATATTTCCCCTTATTATCCCTTCGTTATTAATTATTATTATAATTACCCCTTTACTAACTATAATTATATTAGCCCATACTAAATATTATTTTAAATATAATATTATTAAATTTACTAGCGAAAGTTTCTTATAATTATAGAATTATTTTTATAATATTAATATATATTTTTAGGAATATCCCCGTACTTCCCTCTCGTTCGCTATTAATTATATTAAAAGTAATCCTAAAAACGTATAAATTAAATATATATTGGCTTTCTGTAGTAAATCCGGGTATAATACTATTCGTAATACGTTTATATAGAGCGACCTCCGTACCTTCTTAAAAATTAAATATAATAATAATATTTAAACTATTAAACGATCCGCTCTTAATAAATTTAAATATATATAATAAAATACTTTAAAAACCATTCGTAATTTCTATAACCGCTATTACACCGAAGAATTCAATCTATTATACAATTAACCAAAATATATTCGGATTATTACTTAAACTAACCAATTATACCCCCTCTTTAAATAAAACATCCTCTTAATAACTAATATTAATATAATAAATAAAGTAATAACGTATACAAAACGGTTAAAAGGCCTAAAAAACATCGAATTATCCGTATTACATCGCTAATATTAAATATCTTTAGGGTATAATCTATTATTTTCTTTATTTTTATACCTTCTTACCTCCTCTTTGAATATCCCTTCTTAATTATTCTATAGTAATAACCCCTCCGATTTTCCCTATCGCCCCCTTACTACTTTTTAAATAAATCCTAATTTTATTTATTCCCTTTATTATTAAAAAAACTATACGTATAGCCAATATACTTAATTAAAACTACTAAATACCTACTATAAATATAGTATAATAAGCTATTTTATAATAGTGTACCTAAACTGAACCTATTATAATTATAGCTAAATCGGCTATTTAGTACGGAATTACCCTATCCCCGCAAATACCCCCTTATATAGAACGAACGCCGAACTAATTACAATTAAAGCGGTAACCGCAATTGTTTAGAATAATATAAATAAATTACTAATATATTTGGAAATAAAATTATTAATAAAGATTTATAGAAATTAGTAGAGTACATAAAGGTTAATAAATTCGGGCGTAGAATTAAACCTAATTAATAGGTATTTATTCCTATTAAACGCAAAAATTAATTTAATACCCTATCATTTTATTAATTTTTCCCTTCGGCCTATTCCTATATATAATATAATTACCTATTTTATTAGAATACATAATTCCTATAATATTAAACGGATAAAGCAAATTACTTTTACTATAATTAAATCCCTAGTTATAGAAATTATCTTCAATTACTCCTAACTTTATAAATAGAACTCCAATATTAATTAATAGTAATAGTCGTTTTAATTTCGTATTAAGGTTAACGATTTCGTATTAAATATAGTATTAGCGAAGGAAATATATAACATTGCAACTATCCTAATAAAACTATAGTAGGATTTAATTTTACTATTAGATTTTTAAGAAATAATAAAGGTAAAGGAGGGTTTCCGCCCTCCTATATATACGAATATCCCGTTCGAAATCCCCCCTTCTTTAGCGTTAGAATTTATAACCCTACCTATTATAACGGAATTAACCGAATCGCCTCCGGCCCCTACCCCCTCGATTAAAATTTTTCGAATAGTATTTAATAATATTTACCCTACTCTAATACCCCCTATAGAACTAATATTATTATAACCCTTAAAATTATTAAAGGAAATAAAAGGCGAATCCGCCGTCCCCGAATTAATTATTCTACTAAAATATAAAGAGTTCCAATCGGTATTTAAAGCCTTAACTATACCCCTACCCTAATATAATCGGTTAA